CAGGCCGATACTCGGTTTGAAAAACTTTCTATTCATTTCATCAGCTTTCTTTCGAGAATTAACATGCAAAGTATCTATGGCCTCATCTAAAAATTAGTAGAAAAAAAATGTATTAAAATGTTATGAGTATAGCCTCATCAAAACTTAGATAACACACCTGATTCTAAACGGTTTCCCTCTTCGTTCACGTAGACAATAGGATCATTCGTCAAATAATCGATTTCATTATAGAAATCACTCATGTGATCATCATTTGTTTCACTATCATTGTAAGATCCTGACATTGAAAAGAAATTTTTATCTAAAACAAAACCTACCCAGTTCACAATGGGAGACTCTATTGATAGAAAATTGGTTATTTTTTTTTAAATATATTATCAGTTGTACGCAGTTATTTTACTTATTACAGCAATTCGTACTGACTATCTTTTTGTTTTTGTTGTTTGGAATGTGTATCATTATTATGTTTCTTTTTTTTTCTAGTCTCTATAACAAGAGAATTTTTTTTCTTTTCGATGAATGGTGTATAATAATTCACCAATCACACTGTTGACGTCTTTGTTCATTTTTCATACATACAGTCTTCCATCTTCTTTTCTCCTCTCGTCCAATTGGCCGAATGACGAGCAGCGAATCATTACTCGTACTCTGTTGATTATATTTTCTTTGAGCAAGTGAGAACAATAGTAGAGAGAAGTAAAGAGAACTAATTCTTCTCTCGATCAATCCCTCTCTCTCTTACACCTATAAATACTCGTGCATTTTCATTGTATTGTTCAGTATTCATATTGTCGATATTCTGAGTAAGTTATATTCTCATTCTTTTTTCTTTTATTACACTGCAACAAATTGTCTTTCCATTTACGTTCTCTACTGAGATGATACTAGCTTCTTGTGGAATAACTCAATTCTTATTATACTCTCATGCCATCTAAAAATTAATAAATCACACTTGTTTTTATAACGCAGTTTCTTTCTACGGACTATGCAACTATAGATTTCTAGAACTACTATTATGATTCGTAATCAAGAATACTATAAACATTTACAAGATCGATTAATCAGTGAACAATCTTTTGCAAAATGTACTACAACAACAATATGGTCAACGATCAGAAATATAGAAACAGAAAATGCTGATAAAACTTCCACAACAGCTGTAATCTTGAATGGGCAAAAGTTGTATCATATCGTTATAAAAAATTTATTTAACAAACTGAATATCAGCTGTATTGAAATGAATAGTGCACCGAAAATGTATCGTTTATATACGGGAGATTCAATTTCAATTTTAATAAGTTTAATCGTGATAGCAGTGACGTGTTTTCTCTTAGTGACTTTTATCTTTTTATTTTGTATCAAAGTCAAGAAACTCGTGAAAAAGTATCTTGTGAATCGTACCATTCAAGATTCAGATCATACCATTGAAAGCCATTCGGTTCTTGCCAAGCGTTCACTATCGCCAGAAGAAAGGACTCAACCGCTTTGGAGTCCTAAAAAGATTCGTCTTAACACAGACTGAACTGCCTGTGTATTATTCAACAATTCCATCGATTAATCATTATTTAGTGTCGAAACATGTGCCACGTTTACATGAATTCTCCGTTTAAAAAGAAAACTATCTTTATGTTTGCACGAATTGTCATGAATTCTTAATCTTTTAGCTACTTTACCGCTTTTCCGAATAATAAGATATCTCTTCTTTTCAGATCATATAAATGAGCACTACAACTTCATCTGAACCTTCTTTCAATAGTCATGATTTATCAGACGAAAAACCAGACGAAGCTGTAGGGAATATAAGTTCAAAATCAATGGATGGATTTGCCTATAAAAAATTGCTTTCTTGGTGTCATGTTCTTGACTATATACTTGATCCGAACGAAAATAGTAACACTCTGATAAACACAAGTCCAATTGAAGTGTTTTCGTCAGAAGTAATCATAATTATTTCTTTACAATTCTCATCAATATTATAATCTCTTCTCTATCTTTGATTTCTTAGAGCAAGAACAAGGAAGATTTACAACAGCTGGTCACATCTGAAATAACACAGTTATTGGATTATGTTGACGATATCAAACGACTAAGAGACACTAAGTTCTCTTTCAAAAGACTTTAAAACGACCCTTTCTATAAAAATCTCACGCTTTTTTCTTCATCTTTTTTTGTTTCGTTTTTGTTGCTGTTTTCTATGAAGATGCTTCGTACGATGTATTCGTTTGCTCAACTTTGTATTTATGCGTTGTTTCAGATAATTTCTATCATAAATTATACTGACTTCATTTATCGCAATGAAGGACGACTGCTCAGTAAACATGCTTGGTATGGACTATCAATCGATAACTTTAAATGATCAGACTACTCACAAGCGTCTCGCTTATCTACCATGCTTTCCTCCTGGCATCGGCGAGAAGATCATAGACTCCTCAAGACTTCTTTACGCCAATGTACCACGTAAGTCCATATATGCTCTTCACTATATAAATACGCTTCTATTTTCATTTCTAGGCTGTTGTTTGAGTTTCCAACAGTTATTACAACGTGATTCAGAACTGTTTAATTATACTTTGTATACCAACTTAACAAGAGATGACCAAAACGGTCAATATCCATCGTTTGCTTACTTCATGTTCTCTAGACATTTCTCCAATTTGATGCAACGGTTAAAAGTAACTGTATCTCTTCTTGATTATAATCTGTTACGGCTACAAGCTTTTATTTTAAACCAATATCCCATAAGTTTTCATATGGAAAGTAAATATTTTACTCTTCTACGTGATTATGACGAAATGGTTCTGGCATTGGAATGTTATCTGCAGATGGATATTGACTTATTCTATATGAAAACATGTTCTTTTAATGGTGCACAAAATGATGCATTCGATAAATGCCTCTTTAATAATGATCAACATATAAATATTCGTTATAGTCTTTTACCATGTCGACAAAGTAATTGTTGCGTTTGTCAAACCACTTCGTCGCCATCAATACGATTTAAATCGTTTGAAATACATCGTTTCGTCAATGGATACGAATCCGTTTTAAATTGTCTTGTTACATGTGCAACAAAAAATATTATCTACGTTTTCACTTGCACATGCCAGCAATATGAATTTATTGGGTCAACGAAAAATAGCTTGAGGGATGTTATTCGGTATTATCGAATACAATTAAATCGAGTGATACATGAGCATTTGACTGGGTTAAAATCAGATCCTTATTTCTATCTGTCAACATCATTATTATTCTCTTCTATATCAGATACGCAATTGTATACTCATATCTTACAATGTCCGATACTTTTAGAAAGATTTAAAGCGAATCCAATATACTATAGTTTTATTCCGATGTCATTAAGAGATGTCATCCAGAAAAATTTATCAATTAACATTCAGGATTTCTCTACTGCCGCTACTGTTTCTCCGTCATGTTTCTTGTCTACGCCGACGATTTACATAGAAGAATCAAGAGATAATCAAGAAGTTTCGCACAAGCTACTCCATGAAATTGATCAATGTATAAGTCGCCTACCAAAAGTGTCCAAGAAAGCTATATTTACATCGAGCCAGCGGAAACAACAACGCCGATTTTTCCAACAATATTTAACGAAACAAAAGCTCATCATTAATTTATCAGATCTATATGATATATCTATACTTTGTGTATTACCTGAATCATCTTCGTGTAATTTGCGTACAGTTATTCAAGGCCTTTACATTTTACATGCTGAACCAAATTTAAATGAATAAATGACCCCCTGTCTATAACCTTTTTCTGTCGTTCAAATTATGTCACGAAAATAGTGGTATTAACTATAAATTTTTTGTTTTGTTTTTGTTTTTTTGTTCTAGACTATTAGTCTAACTGGTTTATCGATCTTTATTCGAATGCTATCCAAGTCGGCCCATCATCATCACCATCAACAGCTATTATCCACAGAATATGCGGATTTAGTATCAATTTTAACACAAGAAGCACTCATGCAACCAAATCTTCACACATCCCAAGAAGAAGAATATACTTTTGTTACTTTGCGAGCGGCTAATATCGAACGTTGTTTATATTTACCTACGTTTCCATATGAGATCTCAACTCCAATCGAGCGGATACCTTTACTATTACTGAACGTATCAACAGCGTTGTTAGGTACGCACGGCTTGAATCGTTGATACGGTATATATTACGACGATCCATTGATATCCCTAATCATGAACCGTCAAATGGTATCATTTAGTGCTTTTATATATGAAGAACATTTTCATGATCTAATGAAACGTTTAAATATTAATTTGGCCTTGACTGATTTTAATCTAGGCCGTTTTTATCAGATCATAGCTCACTTTCAAATGATAAAGTGGATAGTAGGTCACCGTTTTCTTCAATACAATAACAATCATGCCGCATATTTGTTACAACAGCAACATGTTCACCTTCAAAATGACTTAGTCAAACATACTTTTCAAGAATTAATCATAGAGTTAGAATATTTTTTACAAATTGACATCGATCTTTTCTACATGAAAACCTGCTCATTTCGTGGTGCTCTGCCGCGATCACTTGATGAAGGTTTATTTTGTAAGTCTCATTTACCTGCCGTACTCTATGCATTACAACCATGTGATCAAATGAGTTGTTCACTTTGTGAAACACCATCTACAACTGTTCACTTTAATTCATACAGAGCTCATCGATTCGTGAATCATTACTACGCTATATTGAACTGTCCAGCTAATTGCCAGACGCAGAATATTATGTATGCGTTAACTTGTCCATGTGGTAATTATGATTTCATCGGATCGACAACGTCTAATATCACTGAAGTAATTCAATGTATACGTGAGAAAGGTAATCACTTTATTCACAATTTATTGTTAGCAGCAACATCATTTCATAATGCTCTGTACGATACAAATCATTTTCTTTCGAATTAGAAGGAAAAATTTCGTTTATATTTGCATTCATCACGTTGTACAAAAGCGCTTCAATTATTCTTAAATATGAATTCGCAATATGATTGTTTTGTTCCAATGACATATGAAGAAGCGATGGTGGATGACGAAGATAATGCTGAAGAAGTATCATTCATGGAGGCAAACGTACAATTGTTAGTCGAGCATGTTCCAGTACCACCCAACGGCTATACTTTCTCTAATAAACAACGGCAAAAACAACAACAATTTTTTCAAAAGTTAAGTTCAAATGGAAATTCTGGAAGACTATGGTCGCCGATAGATCTTTATCATGCTGCAGTAATTGCGGTTCTACCCGAAAATTGTTCCAGTTTACTGCGAGAAGTAATCGAGTGTCTGCTTGTCACTTATGCTGAAATAAAATTAAACATGTTCAATTTACGTACAACAGACATTCAACAATTATATGGACCTCCCTATGAGGGAATTTGGTGTGAAGGTGTAAAACAACCATTTTTACATGCGCCTTAGTACATGAAGAAAACCTACAAAAACAAAAATTTCTCTCTTTTCTGTAAAACTGTTGTATCTATATGTAAAGAGTAATTGTATAAAAGTGTCTTTATTTATTTGTTAATAAAATCCGTGTATAGTTTGTGTCCTCTTCTTGGAAAGTTAAAGTCAATTAGAGGATAAAAAGAAATATTATACTATAATTTCTTTCATTTTTCTTTCCAGATAGAATAACAAGCACTCGTATACCATCAAGGACATTATTATCATCCTGGGACATTCCAAATTCAACAAATTATATTCAACCCCATGCATCTATTGGTGATTTCTTCTATCGAATCATACTCTGTCTTTTAAATATGTCCTGCATACAATCATGTCATCTCTTCAGCAACAATGATGGCTTCCCTATATTCCCATTAGCCATAGTGCAGCAACTTATTTTTTAGTTTTTTTACTGTTGTTAAACATAACGTGTTCTGTATGTTTTTTTGTCTTTTTACTGACTGTTCGATTCTCAAAACTTTTGTATCTGTATATTTGTGATACTGTTAATGTATCTATTCGTACCTTTTTTTCTCTTTCGATCAACTATTATTCTAATTTTGATGTTGTTTTTGTTTTGAGACATCCTGAACGTAGATTCATTTTTCAAAAAATGCGGAAACTTCGGATTTAAATCCGAGAGTTATGTGTACTTCAAAAAGTGAATCATACGAATCAGTCATCCTAGACTGTCTGAACATCAAAATTATACTGTGAAATCTACCATTTAAAATGTTGATTTCTCTTGCGGGTTGCCAAACCAATAGGACTTGAGACCGAATACAGCTCAGATTTGAACTCTTTCCCTTGATTTACCCTAAGAAAGTCATTTTTCCTATAACTTCATTTCTATTGGTCACTGTACAACTAATAGTATTTCGATGGAAGTGTAGTACACATTCGAGTTCTTCATCTCTGAAAACCTCAGAGTATCATCACTGTGATCGGAAGATAGAGCTCTCTTTGTGGATCAATTAGATCGTGGACCAAAATATAACCTAGTTCTCTTCAATTATCCTTGTCATAGGTAAGTCAACCTTCTTGTTTCTTTATGTTTTATATATCATTTTGTAGCTCTTGAAATTCTCTATCGAATGGTATATAATAGTTGGGGTTTTAATTGACTATGATAGGAAAAGTCTTTTACGAAAGTCGCGATAGGTCCATTTTTCCACAGAAAGCTATAGGGAAAAATGGGTATTTTTGCAATAACTCAGGAACGGCTAGGCCGGTCCTTCTCATCTTCGAACTCGACCGAGATATTGTCAAGACTAAGCTGTGTAGAAAATTTCATCACAATATGACTCTCCTTTCGAAAGTTATCGTGTTAACGGCCGGACGGACATACTGACCGATTCTAGAGTGTACTCACTTTTTGAGTACACAATACTCACTTTTTGAGTACACAAAAAAGACGTATAGACGTATACTCTACTTATAAAAAAAGACATATACACGTATACTCTACTCCGAAAAACAAGTAACACTCGTCCGAGGACTCGCTCAGCTCTTTCTCGTAGAAATTGTCTTTCTGAACTATCAAGGAACTATTTATTTATAAAATTTTAGAAATCAAACGAAGCAAACTCCTGCTGTGTCTTTCTGTTAAGTTCCTCTAGATGTTTTAGCTCAGCATCTTGAGCAAGAGACGGTTGGATTTGTAGCACTTTCATGTCGAAAGGTCGAAGAATGGCCACATTTTCTGCTCTCTTTACTCTGCTGAGTGGTACATATATTGATGTCACTTGCATTGTTCCAAGCGGAACTTGAAGATCGACGACGATTTTGTTCATTGTGAGTCCTTAGGCCTCATAAGTAGTTATTGCGAAGGCAGGCACGATTGGCAATTGCGTTCTTGTAACTTGAATCGTTTCTGAAATCTTTTTCTTACCTCTCACACGTTCAATTAGTTGACCGAAGAGATGCTTGATGGGAACAGTAAATTGTTTTTTTATCAGTGGAATAGGGATTAGTTTGGGAGGAAGACCATCGAGACTTGTTTCTACTTGTGATGTATTAATTTTCACGAGCGCGTATAACGGTTTTCGTATGTAGATCGTATTTGAAGGAAATACTTCGCTCTTTACCTTCAAGCCACCAGGATTCTCCTGATCATCGTATATGAGTTTTCGAAAAATTCCTTCAGTGCCGTTCGAGAGCCCTAGTTCACAGGCGATGTTATTGGTGAGAAGCACAGACATGTTTGGTACGAAAGATAGGAGACCGGGAAGAAGCTCGGTCTTGTTGTCAGGTAGATGGTTTCACTTGAAGTTTCTCTTGAGAATAACGACTACCAATTATTACATCATGGGGCAGCGAGCTATAGATTTCTATTTAAGATACCTATTTACACACTTAACTACTCTCGATATCATAGAGCTAAAGACTCTTTTTAAAAAATGGTACCTTCTCTAAAAAAGTTGATCCACAAAAAGTTTTAAAAAACTAACCTCAGATTCGAGTTCCTCGACTCCGATTACCCTTCGATCAACCCTTATAAAAAATCTTTTTTTTTTGTAAAAAATTGGTCCTTTGTCTAAGAAACATTGATCCACAAAATATTTTTAAAAAACTGACCTCAGATTTGAGTTCCTCGACCCCGATTACCCTTTGGTCAAGTTTTACGGAAAATAACTCCTTTTATTTTTACATTGTTTTTGGACCAATCAGTGAAGTGCGGACACATAAGCAAGCAAACAATTTATTCTTGCTAGACTCTTCTCTACGAGAAAGAGAACCATGTGTAAACGTACATACTGTCTTCGGTTTCCGTTAGAAACATTAGTCAAAACGTCAATAATATCATTCACATTCAATTCACAAACGCGCAATTTTTTCTTTTCGAACCATGGCTCCTATTTTGCATATACTCGTAAGGCATGCACAATATATGTGGTGTAGTCTGATTCATCCATGTAGGGTGGATTGTTGTTTTTCTTTCTTTCTTTCTTTCTTTCTTTCTCTCTTCTATGCCAGTATTCTAAACGAGAAAAAAATTGCACGACGTTGAGTAATTATATATATATAAAACGCAAAAAACACTACGCATTCATTTTTCGAATTTTCTATGGCTGATACAGCAACCACAAATACGTTGGTTGCAACAACGATAGGAGTAAAACCCTCTATCGTTCGCTTCAATGTCGATCAACAATGTCCTATTCAGTATGTTACTGTCTACAACGATCGTGCGGAAGTAACACGGTCTTTACAACATCATTTTGATGCTGAAGGTACATATGATCTTGTGCTCGATGGCTTTTCGACATTTGTCGATGAAACATCATTACATGTCAGTGGTGGAACGAGCAAATCATGCACCATTCTTGAGGTATCCTATCAAACACGATATGAAGATGTCGCTCTACCATCGGATTCGACGCCACTAGATAATGTCCAAAGTCAACTCGAAAATGTGCAAACTGGCATAAAGATGCACAAACGCGAATTGGCACGACTCGAAAAGCAACGTTTATGGCTTGATGGACGTTCAGCCAAATTAATGAATCAAGATGGACCATGTACGGCCAATGATCTGGATAATATGCAGAAATTTCTCGAATTCTATCGCAAAATGCTGTTAAAACTCGATGATGAAACAGTGCGCGAAGAAGACGAAGTCAAGAAGTTAAATGATCGCGAAAACGCTTTGAAAGCTCAAATCAATCAACATGGCGCTGAAGCTCAAGCGAATCGACGAAAGACGTGTCGAGAAGTGACCATTACAGTTCATATCGCCAGTGCTCAAAAAGATATGACACTTGAAATTTCCTATTTGATCAGTAATTGTTCTTGGAGTGCCAGTTATGATGTCCGTGTCAACAGTGTTGACGCGAATCGACAACGAACACAATTAACGTATTATGGAATTATTGTAAGTATTTGAATTTAACAAATTCTAGGAATGATTTCATGAGACTTACTAATCTTTAGGTGAACAAAAGTCAAGAAAACTGGCATGACGCAAGTTTTTCGTTGTCTACTGCAACGCCGTCCTTGGGTGGAACACCGCCGAAACTGAACACACTCAAAATTGATTATTGCAAACCACCTGTCACTTATCATAGGCAACGTTCTCTATCAGAAACAAATCGATTGGAGTGTTATGATGCTGTAGCAGAACAAGAAATGGCTATAAGACCACAAATGAAACGTTTAAAGGGTGCATTCAGATCATTTCGTGGTAAATCATCACTGGCTTATGATCCAACCATTGAAGACACCGATGAAGAATCTGCCGAGACAACAGTCAACGTTCTTGCCTCGAAAACCGAAACCAGTATGTCCAGCACGAGTTTTGTCATTCCACGTCGATCAACTATCGATTCAGATGTCAGTATTATTTTCCGTGTCGTTAAATATCTATGTACTTTGTGCTTTCTTTTCTAGGGTAAACCGCACAAGGTCACGATTGGTGTTTTAGATCTCACTTCAACATTCACATACACAGTTGTGCCGAAAATGTCACTTCATGCATATCTTAAAGCATCGACGGTGAACACATCGGATAAACAACTTCTTACAGGACCGGCATCTATCTTTATGGATAACAATTTTGTCACACATAGCTCGATCGACAATGTTTGTATTGGTGATACGTTCGACCTTCCACTAGGTACGGATGCCAGTGTCAAAGTTGAATACAAGCCAGTGAAGAAAATGACCGACACACAAGGTCTCATTTCGAAAGTTCATCATGAGACAATACGTCATGAGACACATATTGTAAACACAAAATCAACCGAAATCACAGTATTCGTCTACGAACAAGTGCCTCTATCTTCGAATGAGAAAATCAAAGTTAAATTACTTTCACCTGAACTACGACAAAAGGATAACGCACACAATTGCACGGTAACAATGAACGATCGAAACAATTTGGAATGGAAATGTATATTGCCAGCACATGGAGAATATAGATTTCCGTTAGAATATATGCTTGAATGGCCAAAAGAAAAGCGTGTTGAATTCAA